CTGGTCGTAACCCAAAAAGTTCGTTAACAGAGGCGTTCGTAACCCAAGGTACCACTGTATATGCTCCCAGTGACTCTGGGAGTATATAAAGGGAGTCTGAGTGAAGAAGTAACAGCAAAATGTTGTGCTTGCTTCATTTATTAGACATCTAACATGAGGTGGGCCAGTAACCACTAAAAAGAGATTCACTCTTGCTCACATTCAACTGTGAAGAATGCTAAATGTTCAGGCATTATTTATCCATGTATATTAAAATGGCAAAAATTTGTGAGATCTCACTATTTTGTGGGATTTTAACAATCTCAGAGTGATTGTGAAATCTCATTCATCTGGCAAACTTGCATGTTTTCAGCTATCTTAAAATATATTTGTAGGTAATCTGTGGAGAAGCAGGCACTTCTTTCATACTTCATGAAAATTTGCAGAGCTGAGAGATTGGAGAGAAAGAGATTTCAAGGAAGTACTGTAAGCTGTTTACGTAGCGTGCTCACAGCTCTCAGCCCCAGACTGCCAGCATGATCGCACTGCTTTCAATGTGCAGAAGAGCAAACAGCTTACTTTCTTCCAATCCCTTTCTCTCCAATCTCTTTGCTTTGCAAGGGGGGGGGGAAGGAAAAAACCACACAGATTAGGCACAGGACAACATGTACTGAGTGTAATGGTGTTCATGGGACTGAGGGACACTGTGAAGGTTGTGAATGGGCTATAAAGTTATTTTTTTCAGCACCCTTGTAACTCTGAATGGTTGCTGAACGAACGGTTGGTGAGGACTACTTGTATTTGTCACTACATTGGAGAAGTCTATGAGCGTACATGACAGTAGGTAGTAACAGTCAACAAAGAGATCCCCTATGGGCAGTCTGCCTAGGCCTCACCAAAAATTCAGATTTAGTTGTATAAGTCAGTATATTAAGTGTAAACATAGGGTACCAAGAGATAATGCATTAATGGAAGATTATAATTCTAACCGAAAATTATCACAGTAGTTTTGGAAAATGAAATTAAGTGTACAATATGAAGAATAGAAAATTATGAAACCACACTACACAAACAACATTTTACATCTAACAAAGAATGAATAGTCACAAGAACTTGTAAAGCCATCAGATTAAATTAGAAAAGTTAAACTGCATTAGAACAACCTGAACAAACTTCAAGATCTTACCCCTGCTAGGCATTAAAAGGCGCTTCTTCATGTTGCCTGGTAGAACACAGTGAATAGAAAAATAAGGAGACTATGTCAATAACCTGATACAATACTATTTTAAATACCAAATTTTATTTGTGCAACTTTTAGGTCAGTTTTATTCTTTCCAACCCAATGGAAAGTTGGAAAGGAATTATGTAAAGGAGGTCAGGATTCTGTTAATCTGGTAGCATAATAATTCAAATTTGGTGTGAAGAAAAAAGCCAGCAAAAGATAGAACAGGTCTGAAAACAGGCCAGATCAGGAATTTGGCAGCCGCTCAGAATGCTGGTAACTGCTCCACTTGAAGCAATCTTGTTCCCGGTCATAGGACTCAGGATGGACCCAGAATGGAGTTTATGGAATTCACCCCATCTTTAACATTGCACACATACGTACACGCATATACCTACTGTTGATTAATGGGCTGGAAAGAAGTCTAGAAATCATGCTCTGCATCCTTTCTCTACCTTGTTAACATAGCTTTTGAATTAATTTAAACACCAGTGATGTACAAGATGTAAATAATGTACAAAATCAACTTGCCATAGGAGGCAAGTTCATTTTAACAGTCGAGCAAACACCGTTTGCTCTTGCCCAGCTGACATAGGATCACTAAATTCATGAAGTTTTCTGAGATTAAAATACACTATATTCACAGGATTCCCTTAGTTTATCAAAATTAATTTGAGTCAACTTGTCAGTATTTACTTTATTTACAGAGATAGAGTCTAGCAGCCTGGAGGGACAAAGGGCCTGAGCTTGTCTGTATGTTTTAACTCCCTTCACTCATCATGTATAGGGCCAGAAAAGCCTACTGTAAAGAGCAGTGGTTGCAGGGAAGGCTTTGGAAGGCAGGAAATTCTTCTTCTTCTTTTTTTAAAGACTTACTTTGAATGTGCACAATGGAATTTACCAGCAATCAATATTTAAATTTTAAGATCTAAATTTTTATTTCTTTGAAGATTTGCATTATTGCAGACAATGGACTTTAAAAAGTTGGAATCCACTATTGCAGTGCTATATACTGTGAGGAACATACAGGTTCTCTAACACTACTTTATCCACATTTATAATATTATGAATTTATAAGTGCTGTACGCTTGTGTCTCAAAACTATATTATGCTACCTTAATGAACCTCAATTATCCAAGCCTCTTTACATAATTTATTTCCAACATTGGAAAAAATTGAAAAAAATAGTGCCTCACATATACAGAAACACCTCTAGCATAGATCCTGCCCAGAATGAATAAGACAAGTCATCTACTGTATTTTCACTCTTGTGGAAGAAGTTGTCCAAATTTAGATTAAACTCTTCTATCCCTCAAGAAGGCAGGAAAATCGTAGGTTTGAAATCTACTGATCCCCTAGACTTCTCATTTAGGGTTCTGTTTTTGTTCTGAGCTAAATTTTAAAAACCACCATTTCTGTTTCTCATAACTCATATAAATGTTCTATGGTAGGCTAAGGTGATGTTGGAAATTTTCTTCCAGAGAAATATGGAGTTAGCTGAAAGAACTGGGATTTTTAAGTTGAAACAAGGTAAGAAAAACATGCAGAACATGACTTCTGGAATTCTTTCAAACACTTTTTCTAAAGAGCCACAGGTATCTTCTATATCTTTTCCTGTGTAACAAAGTAGTGTTTTGCAACTGTGCATTTTTTGTGGACATATGCTATGTTCTGGGGCACATGATGAAGAGGAAGGGGGCTCAGAATGAAGCCGTCTGAGCTGCTATGCCTTTCCCTTAAAGGATACATTGGGGGAATTTTTTTTTCTGGAATTTTGTTTTCTGCAGCCTCTGACCAGAACTGACCCATTTTCCAACTCTTGCTTTGCTGTTTTTTTCCTGACCCTAAATTTGATCTTGTTCTGTTCAGTATTTGGAGAGTTATCCTACTAATGGACAGATGAACAGAGTCCCAAGCACCTTTACATAATTCCAACATTTTGTTGGGTTGGAAACATTTTCTTGTGTTTCCATGTGTGTGTGTGTGCACACATGTGCACATGTGTTTCTACTGTTGCATTTGCATATGTTTGAATGTGTGCACTTTTTCCCCAGGATATAATCAGAATGTGTCCCCTCATATTATACCAGTGTTTTTGCCTGTGTGCCCTGGAAAGCATGGTGCAGGGTACATATGCTACCCTCTGGAACATGTGGTTTTTCAACCCCTTCCTATCAGTGGCTATAGAAAGCATCTGTATTTTCTTCTGTGTAGGACTTAAGGAAAGTCAGACAAAAACTCTTAGTCCTGAGAGTTTGACTGCAGCCACTTGGAGGGAATTGGCAGGGTTGGCAAAGTAAGGGAATATGTGTTCTTTTGTTTTTAAAAATAGCTCTGTCCTAGGTCACATAAGCAAAAGGGAGGAAGGAAGGGACTTGAGAACAGAGGAGTCAGCAGAGTCTTGAGAACAAAATGTAGGGTCTACAATGGAAATCTGTGTATTACTGGTGAAATAAGGAATGATGCCCCTCACAACAACCATTTGGTGCCTTGTCTACATAAAGTAATTTGGCTGTAGAGTCATGTTATAAAATCCATTTTATAAAAAGAAAAATATCTGCTTAATACCAGCTGTTTAATTTTCACTTTTGATATAGCACTTATTCCTGTGAACAAACTATTTCAAGTTGTACACATGTGGGAAAAAATCAGAGCATACTGAGAATTTGTATACTTTGGTAGAATGTTTACTAAAAATAGGAAAATGAATGGGAAAATTCTGAGGTGTGCAAATATTGGTAGATATGTAGTATGTGGCAGTTCAAGGTACAAATGTCTGCAAAATGGCTTCTGTTCACTTTGTTAAATGAAGTGAGAATTGGGAATGTCGGTAGAAATGTAAAAGTTGGATGAACTGGGAATGGCTTACTTAAGAAGAGTGTGTGGTAAAGCAAGAAGAGACAGGACTAAGAGCAAACAGGTATGGAATGAAGGTGGATTGAATACAAAAATGCTTGACCGCTACAAAACAAATACACTGAAGTAATTTGTATAGAGAAACTGAATGAGGACTGAATCACAAAAAAGAGAGTGAATCAACTGAAAGGAGGAGGAAGACAGAGAAAGTCATGCTTGAGTGGAATTGATGAGATCCTCAAAAAGAGATAGATAAGTTTAAAGAGTTGATGTGTGAGGCAGTGCATGGAAATGATGGAAGTAAGAATAGGAGTGTATGGGAAGGCATAGTGAAAGATATTGGTGTAAACTAGATTTAATTGTATTTCCTCTTCTTTTTCTTACTAAATTATTTTGATTTCTTTGGCTTACTATTTCTTACTTCTGTTCTACAATTTGCATAAAGTTGCTTACCCTGAAAGGGAATAAAGTAAAGGTTATGTATATGTGTTTTCTTCCAGGATTTTTTATTTTCCCAGTCTAGTGATTTCCTGGTGGTCATCCAGATACTAATCAGATCCAGCTCTAGTTATTTTTTTCAAGATCAGCCAAAGTTGACTAGGAGCTGTTATTTGCTCTGACCCATCTTCCCTAAAAAATTGTACATCAGGAGACATACTTGGCTGGGAGATGGTGTCACCTAATGGTTAACTGAGCAACAGGGAGTTGAAAAAAGCTGCCCAGTTTTGTCATAAAAATAGGGACAGTGAAGGATAAAGACTACCATAGCTAACTTGACCTCAGGCATTAGCATTAGAAATTAATTTGTGTGAGAGAGGACTGGTTTTAGGTAAGGAATTATAATTGGGGTCATGATGACAATGGAGTTGGATCTGGATGATCTCTTTAACTAGCTCACTGTCCAAAGAATCCTCCAAAGAAATGCCATGATATTAACTGGTGCCACCATTAACAGCCTCATATCAATTACCTTGGCAGTTTGAATCACATTTGATAAGCGTACTAACTGTCTTTTCCAAACCTGAACCTGACACCAGTTAAGCTGTCCAGGTATCTGAAGGGCTGTTATAACTGAGGAGTCCTTGGGCTCTCTGAGCTTGGTGGAGCACTTGGTTAGTGTGGATTGTTTTTTGATAGTCTTGTGTTTCTAATTTGCCGTCATTTCCTCTGCTGATGAGGATATCCAGGAAGGGTAGTGTGTTTTCTTCTTCCCTTGTGAATTTTATTCCTTTGAAGAGTGCTCCATTACCAAAGTAACAACCCAACTTCCCACAAGAGAAGATGGGTAAGAACATTATTCAGACGAGTACAAACACACTGCAGCAACCCAGAACATCAGAAAAAGCTTCCAACAAAATGGATATCATGCAACTTTATCAAAAAGTGCCTGACCACTCAACCCACTATAGCTATGTTATCCTTTTCATAGCTATAATACAAGCTATGAAAAGGATAACACTGCCATACATCAAAAATATCTCAGAAACAACCAACAGACTATTACAACCATACAGTATCACTGTAGCACATAAACCAACTAAAGCCCTCCAGAACATCTTAAGTAAACCAAAAGCCCAAGAAGAAAGAACAGGAGTCATCTACAACATACAGTGTAAGGACTATACCAGCCACTATGTAAGACAGACAGGCAGACAACTAGTAGAGTGCATCCATGAACACCAACTA